GGGGGAGAGGGAGAGAGAAAGAGAGAAAGATCGACGTGAGAGAGACACAGTGGCTAGTTGCCTCCTGCATGCACTCCGACCAGGGTCAGGAATTAAGCCTGCAACCAAGGTACATGCCCTTGGCCAAAATCAAACCTGGAACCCTTCAGTCCATGGGCTGATGCTCTAACCACTGAGCCAAAACAGCTAGGGCAAGGATTTTCTATATACAAGGTCATGTCATCTCCAAATAATTTTGTTTCTTCCTTTCCAATCTGTATGCCTTTCATTTCTTTTTCTTGCCTAATTGCCATGGCTAAAATCTCCATTACAATGTTGATTATAAGTGGTGAGGGCAGAACATTTCAGTCTTTTGCCAGTAAGTATGATACCATTATTTTGAGTACTTCCTTACTCTCAGGCACAAGAAGTCATTCTAGCTCACTTTGTACTTTATCTGTATTTAAATCAGCCTTTCTCCAAGCAGTTTAGCTTCCTTATAGTGGAAAATGGTATCTAGAAACCAAGACCTGAGTACCAGATGTGATAATTATTGTTGATATGGTAGTGTGTGTGTGTGTATATACACTCAGACGCACCTATATTTCTATATCTCTATATCTATATTTGTAACTACCTTCTCTAACAAGGAGACACTTGAATTTTAGTAAATTTATTTACTCATTTTGCTCAGCCTTAGAATGCACAAAAAGTATTGCAGAATTACCAAAACATACAGGTGCAAAAAGCAAAATTACTAGCTAGAATTCAATATTTTAAAGGTAATAATTACAGACCAAAGTGCAAAATTCTTAAGTGTTCAATTAGATAAGTTTTGACAAATGTATACACCTGTGTTACTCATACCCCTATCAAGATACAGAACATTTCCATCACCCCAGAAAGTTCTCTCATGTCCCTTTACTTAAAATCGTTTCCAGTTTTGGGCTATTTTGAGTGAAGCTGCTATGAACTTTCTTGTAAAGTCTTTTTGAGGACATATGTGTTCATTTCTCTTGGGTAAATACGTAAATACAAAAACAAAAACTTTTGTTTCATAAGGTAGGAATATGTTCTACTGGCAGTGTATGAAAGTTCTAGTTGCTCCACAAGCTTCCCAACAGAGTTTTCAATTGTTTTGGTTTTAGCCACTCTAGAGATGGGTTGTGGTTTCTCATTGTGGTTTAAATCGCATTTCCCTGATGAACTGATTATGTAGAACATCTTTGCTTAGTTATTTTTTACCATTGTAATAAACATATTTCCTTTTAGTTTTTTCTGTTTTTTTCAACTTTTAGTTGAGATATAATTGACATATAACATTGTATTAGTTTCAGGTGTATGACATAGTGACTTGATATATGCAGTAGTCCCCCTTATCTGTAGGGAATATGTTCCAAGACCCCCATTGGGTTCCTGGAACTGCAGATAATACCAAACCCTATATGTAGTATTTTTTTCCTATACATACATATATATGATAAAGTTTAATTTATAAATTAGGCACAGTAAGAGATTAACAATAACTAATAATAAAATAGAACAATTGTAAGAATATACTATAATAAAAGCTATGTGAATGTGGTCTCTCTCTCTCTCTCTCTCTCTCTCTCAAGATATCTTATTTTACTGTACATATAGCATGGATACTCTGGAAAGAGGGATGATTCACTTCCTGGGAGGGATGGAGCAGGATGGCATAAGATTTCATCCTGTTTCTCTGAACTGTGTGCAATTTAAAACATGAATTTCTTACTTCTGGAATTTTTATTTAGTATTTTTGGACTGCAGTTGACCATGGGCAACAGACACTTTGGAAAATGAAACTGATGATAAGGGGGACTATTGTGTAAATATTGAGAAATGATCACAATAAGTTTA